GCCAGTACCATTGCACAACAATGAAACTTCGTTAAAAATATTCACTGAACATGAACAACATTATATGACTCGACGCTCAAAGTTCAAATTCAATATAATCGATACTAGCGAAAATGAAAATGCCGAAACCTACACGAACGAGTCATATAATGATCAAATTGCCACGTCCCCAAGTCAATATAACCGTGGATTGGAGAAGGATGATATTATTAGAAGGATGAGATCATTATCCACGCCGCGGAAGCTCGACGCACAGTCTTCTTAGGTTTTAAAATCAATTTAAGAGTAATATAACTGTTAGGTAAGGGTGGTAAAAGATAACGTAATCAAAGTATCAAGTTATTCACTGCAGCCTCTAACACGGAAACTTAACATTTATAGATCTTTCGGCCGAGACTGGAAATCAACGTACACCGGCCGGACCATTAGTCTACAAAGACTGATTTTATGTTCGACAACCAACTTATTACCACAACAGTCAACTTTGCAACGCACACCAAACCTTTGCTCTAGCCTGGGGAACTGGACAAACTGGAGGGACCGAATTAACTGATTATGTTGCACTTTGGTAAAACCCTCACTGGGGCCCGCATTTTTTTACGTTTACACTTTCTGTTACCACTCGTCACTTCAACTAGTATTTCACGGGACACCGGACACGTCACACTATTCTTGTAGAATCGCATGACTCTGGAGGTTTGCCAGGTAAAGCCAAAGGGGAAGAAGCACATTTGTGAGACGAAAATTTCTAATTCGGCGGGTTAATGTCCAAAATCAGGGAGAAAAATCATTGTCTTATTCTTCAGAGGGACTGCGGTCAAGATGACCACTAAATGTTAGAGCATCGAATTCCTGTACTTACCCCGGTAATTGGAATGTTAAAGCGCTTTAACATTTTTGTCAATAATCATCGAATTAGATTTGGATTCACTGATTGAATGAAATCAACAACAACCTACGTCCTACTCATTCAAGACATTACATATTTTTGTCTAGTTATGAGGTACAGTGAATGATGTCAGATGTGATATATGATTATTTTGTGTGTGTGTGTGTGTGTGTGTGTGTGTGTGTGTGTGTGTGTGTGTGTGTGTGTGTGTGTGTGTGTGTGTGTGTGTGTGTGTGTGTGTGTGTGTGTGTGTGTGTGTGTGTGTGTGTGTGTGTGTGTGTGTGTGTGTGTGTGTGTGTGTGTGTGTGTGTGTGTGTGTGTGTGTGTGTGTGTGTGTGTGTGTGTGTGTGTGTGTGTGTGTGTGTGTGTGTGTGTGTGTGTGTGTGTGTGTGTGTGTGTGTGTGTGTGTGTGTGTGTGTGTGTGTGTGTGTGTGTGTGTGTGTGTGGCCATTGATAACCTTTCACTATATTGCTTTCTCACTATTGCTTTTTAACAAAAGGGTATGAATGGAAAAATATTAGACTTATAAACACCTCCGAGTTAGATTTAGAATAATCAGCCGGGCGGGCGCGATAGATTGTAATAATCCCGGCTCCCGCTGTTAGTGTTAATGTTATAAATATATATATATATATATTAGTTCTTTCCCGCTTCATAAATACAAAATAACCCCGGCACAGTTTCTATAATCCCGCCCCGCTAATTTGGCTCAACAAGATTTGTTTTGTTTTGATAATTGGTATTCCATGACAATGTCATCCGCGCGCACTGTCACGTGTTTTGATGACGTGTATCACGTGACTAACTACTACGACGCGCATATTGGTAAAAAATATCACGTGACCTATGGTTTAACGTAAAAACTATAAATACACTTGATATGATCTACTTACTGTGTACTGGGCCGCGCTCAGCCTGTCATTCCGCCGAATCTCTATGTTAATGAACATGATAGCCTGAGGTCCCCGGTAAATGATCTACGTATCGGTTTAATCTACGTATCGGTTTACCTGTCACCAAGATGTAATTAGATTGTAAATAGAAAGCGCAGAAATTAGATCGAACGCGTTCGATCTAGGAATTAGATTAGGTAGTGCGCCATCGACAGTGAGCCGCGCGTGCCGACTGTAGGATGGTTTTTTAGCGCTAATTTCAGCCAGCACAATTTTCTTCAAACAAATAGATATTAAGTATCCTTCCCGACCTCCGATTGCAACAAAAATTGGTAAGCTTACTCATAGAGACTTACAAGGCAAGTGTCCGAAAAGTTTAAAGCATATCTAACTATACTACTATCAGATATTATGTTACAGCTAAAAGCAGCGTATTTTGCCCCATTTTGATCACTATATCAACTCCGATATCCACCAAACTTTTCGGACAGTTGTGAAAGCCCTATTGGAAGGTCGTCGCCAATTTTAAGAATGATCTCATTCAAGGAACTGAAGATATACCCAAATAATACGACCGCGACAAAAATCAACGAATTTGGTCAAATTTGGTCAAATTACGCAACTTTTACTACTACTATACAGCTAATTATGCTCCAAAAGCCGCGCACCATCAAATATGGCACTTAGGCGAAACTCACTGATATTACCAAAAAAGTATGACAAATTTGGTATTGTGAAAATTCTCACAGTCTCTAGAAAACAATGGTACAAAAATTTTTAAAATCCGAGCAAGTTTATTTTTATGGTGCACCCCCTAATTAGATCGAACGCCGGCGTTCGATTTCTGCGTTCGATCTAATTACATTTTGGTTACAGTTATTTAATTGTTGATTCACGATGTCAATCCTTCAGTTCGCAGCTCGGCGAGGCCCAGTGGTGCATTTTGCTACAAGTTAAATTTCAGACGCAGGCAAAACTCCAGCACACTGCTAGCTTAGCCGCTTAGGGGTCGTTTACATAGTACGTAATCAATATTTTAGCAATTTTCCCCCCTCCGAAATCAACCGGGCCGTAATCAAGACCCAACCCCCCCCCCCTTGACTTTTTTCCCTGGAAAACACTTGCGATCCTCTACGTTTCATGCTACCCTGATCTTGTAGCGCTATGCACTACTGGGCCGCGCCGCGCATCTTCTCGCAACCACAGATCGTATGCATGATGCAGATCGGCGAGATGCGAAGTATTGAAATCGCGATCGTGAATCAACCCTGATCATGCTATCATGATGTTAGCCGAAATCATTGATATCTATTATCTAGCCGAAATCTGCATCATGCATGATATCCAGGCAAGCACCTTAAACTATTTACTATTAAAGCCGGATATTTCAATATTTGATCAATTTCTAAATTTTATCACTATCAGAGTAGTGAAATTGAGTGGAATTGGGAATTTGAATTAAAATATTGTCAAATTGTTATTATTCTAGAGGGTAAAAAATATAATTTGTATTACGAATACGTACTCTGCTCATAAACGACTTACTGGGCGGCGCTCAGCCTGTCATTCCGCCGAATGTTTATGAACATAATAGCCTGGGGTAGGGTCCTCAAGTAAATAAACGACCAAACTGGAAGGGGTGATATTGCAGCAGGATTACTGGGAGTCAGGATGTATGACTAAAGGACTGATGATCAGGGGTGTAGGAATGATTTTCTTCATGAGGGGGCCAAAATCTTAGAGTTTTTCTAATTTAGCACGCGCTTTGGCCACAGCCTGAATTTCAAAAACAGCAAAACGTGTAAATAAAGGCCTAGCTGAGCAATTTGGCAATATAGAGATCATTTTCAAACACAGTTTCAAGAATAATTAAAATAATACGATTTTAAATGCTTATTAATTATTAGGGTCTGCAAGCAGCTCTTGCGAAATAAGTGTAGTTCGAAAAAGGGATGCATATTGTATTCTCTGGAAAATAATTTCAGGAAATTTGCTTCCAGAATTGAAATCTAGCAATGTGAAAAGATAAATCCAGAAAGATTTTGTTGTGCCAATTTAACTAAGCATTAAGGGTCAAAGGAAAAGTCCTGCAAATTTTGAAAAATATTCTTACAGTTATAGGTCTCACTCTCAAAGAGGGTACAACATGCAAGGAGGGAGAAACTGGAACAATTCTTGGAAAATTTGTTTTAAGGAACGAATTCTAGCAATGAGGTTATGTAAATTCGGACTACAAGAGGCAAACTGTGTCCTACTAATTTACTCCCACGGCATAAAAGAGTAATCACAAATCAGTAATGTTACCTGAATTTTATACTCGCTAGGCTTCTGAACTTCTGATGAATCCAGACATGTAATATGTTTTGTTTTAAAGACCCGAGGGCCACTGTGTCCTGCTAATTTACTCCCACGGCATAAAAGAGTAATCAGTAATGTTATCTGAATTTTATAATCGCTAGGCTTCTGAACTTCTGATGAATCCTGACATGTAATATGTTTTGTTTTAAAGACCTCTAATTCACACACCAAAACTTTAAATTTTATCAAATTACAAATGTCCTAATATATACGTCTCTTATTAAGTTAAAAAGTCAGGGGTGCAGCCGTTGTACTTCTATTAAAATAATTGATCACGCCGGATCACGATTTTATTTTATCAAAATCAGCTACCCGTTTAATATCAGAATATGTAATATAAATTAACAGATTTCTGGTTCATTGAAATATTCTGGTATTGAAAATACTGAACACGGCATAGAAGAGTAACCAGCAATGTTATCTGAATTTTATAATCGCTAGGTTCCTGAACTTCTGATGAATCCTGACATGTAATATCGGAATATGTAATATAAATTATCAGATTTCTGGTTCATGCCAGCTCACAGCTGGATCGTATCCTGCTAATTTACTTGAAAAAGTTGGCCCCTTTTCGCCCCTTTTCCAGATTTTATGGGGGGCGGTCGCCACCCCCCCCCCCCCTGCCCCCTCCTCCTACACCCCTGCTGATGATGCATGACTGTGAGTATTGGATTTGGATAAGAAGACAGTTGGGGTCAACTTCTCGTCGGACTTATGTTATTCTACGAATCTAATATTAAACAACGGGACACTAGTACAACCACAGTATATTTGAAAAAGACGCTTTTTATTTTAGTGGTGTTGACTGTTCATTATTTTTATGAAATAAACCTACGTGGGACAAATGAAACAGGTCTTTATTAAAAACAGTACTGTTTTCGTTAATTCGTAAACCACGATCGCAAATGGAAAAATCCAACCAGATCCAATAATTCTCATGCGACATACCAAATCCACATAACCATAATTTATCATGACATCATGCTTCACAGGCTTCTTTCAAATCCCCCTAGCATGAAGTCTACTCAGCTACATCTATCATATGATTCAATAACCCGCATGAAATCTACTCAGCTACATCCTTTATATGATTCAATAACCCGGATGAATATCTCAAAACGTTATCAGCCTACATCTGCACTAATGAAAATTAATAGTTATCTCTGATCCTGATGATAGCATATATCATTTCATTTTCCCTTGATCTTGTCAGAAGCCATCGGCAATGTTTACTATGTGCTTTACAGTTACACTTCCAGGTTGGAGGTGGACTGGTCAGCAGTTTCAGTTTCGGATGTAATTTAGAATTCTTCTTCTGACACCAAGTGGAAAACCCATCTCTTTGAGATCTGGCTTGTTTAGGAGGAAAAAGTCGTCCCTGGATACATGTTCTCTTTCCAATATACCTCTGAAATCCTTGATAAACATTTTTAGCTCTTTTAAAACACTCATAACTTCTTCATGTTATCAAATATTATTAGATTTTCATGAATTGAGTTGAACTCACCTCAATTTGAAGAAATTTCAGGATTTCGTCTAACTGTTGGGGTCTTTCTTTTCCAATTCGTGTCTGACTGAAATGAAGTTTAAGTGTGAACTGTAAGCTAGCCAGAGACAATGTTCTAAAAGTTTTTAATTGAAGTTCGATAATATTATATTATTATAATCATGCCATATTGGTTCCAGTTAAGACGACAATAACGTGAATGCTGGCGCAGCAGTAACTTAATAATCACTCCGAAATCAATCGTAAATTCGTTGAACTATCGATTATTATCATTTTCTGGGTCTTGAGTTTTCACAACATGGGAATTTCAATAACATTCCTTTTGTTTTTCTGGAACCAATCGTTTTTCTACTTTAAGAAATCATAAAAATATTACTAGCATAACAATAACATAATCAGGGCCTGATCAATAATATTAAATTTAATTACTGGAAACCTGTTGAGTCTGTCTACTTTCTTTGTAAGAAGAGAAGTCCTTTTGTCGATCATGGACAAGTGTTTTCTGATCTGACGCTGTTCCCGGAATATCCTTATTTTCAGAGACACTTTTGTCTTGCTTCTGGTTTCTTTTGTAGCACATAGAACAAGCTCATATTATAATCTATTGTCATATAAAAGAATAATCGGAGTATTTGATTATGATGTGTAATATAACAGTATAAAACTATGAGCTGTCACCCTTATTATTCTCAACCAGCAGCTTTTTTATAACTTATAGTTTACATCATTCATCTCGATCATCACCTGTTCGTCTGACTGATTTGACCGAGAGTCTTAGACTCATAGCTAATACAATCAGAAATACTTACGTCTGACTTTGTTGGGTCTGACACTGCTTCTGGAACAACACTCCAAGTTGTCAAGTCGGGACATGATCTCACAAAGCAAGGTCTCTACAGAGTTCAGCTTCTCCAGGTGGTGAGAAGAGACAGGGGTTCTGGCTTTGGGGACCAGCACGCTTCGTGGAGGAGTGGTGGATATTTCTCTGAGTTAATCCAGGATAAATGGTTTTACCCTCACTAAAAAAGCAGCGATTCACGGTCTAAAATCAGCAAAATCACTCGTACAACTGGGACCGGACCCTAGCCGAGGACATCATTATTCAGATTGGACAGCGTCACTGAATTAAGATTAATTACTATCTCCAACATACTGATAATAATCAAAATTGTTATCCGTTAATATACCTGGGTTGAAATGAGCTTGGCCTGACAACGTGGAAACCCTGAAGTGGTTCCTCGAACTGTCGCTGCAAGGGGGGAGTGGATGCACGGGATACTCGCTGCAAGGGGGGAGTAGATGCACGGGAAACTCTGTCTCTGTACTCCCTATTCTCATACACCACATCCTTCGTGCGGTCCTCTCCCTCCTTCCCTTCTGCCTCTAAAACTGACACATATTCGTTAATATTCAACAAAGACCCCCGGAATGATTTCAACATTTGCGTTTGGCGCTATCAACTCTAGACAAACTATTGAATAAACAGTGTAAATTAATTCACGAACCTTTAGAAAGGTTTGGCTGAGATGTTGAGGATAGAGGATTGCCGTTGTTGAGGAAGAAAGCTGCAGATGGCGCCGACTGAAATAATATAATAGTGATATTGAATCAACGAATATAATTTCTATCCAGTCAAGTGTACAACATTTAATATACGAAGGTGATGGTTCCATATCTCGCCATAAGTTTAAATAATCAAGCTTCAAAAATCGTCGAGAGGTAGAAATAGGTCGCACGCATAATGCTCATGTTTCTAAATGACCTAGGTCCTAGATACACATTTTAAAACTCACAATCACCATTATTAGAAATCAGAAATCGAGAACTGAGGCCCCCGATAAAATAAAGCACATACCAGATAGGGGTCGTTCACATATTATGTAATACTAATCAGCCGAGGGGGAAGGGGGGTTTCCAAATGATTTCGCTCTTGCAATTTTGGCACAATAGCTATGTGGAAAACTGATTACGGAAGGGGTTGGGGGGTAAACAATTTCCAAAAAATGATTACGTAATATTTGAACGACCTCATAAGAACAAAAATTACAGTGAGTCACGATGACCTTTTCTGTTGCTAGATTTATTATTGAATTATCCATTTTATCAACCATTTAGAACAATGGGGTTGATTCGCGAATTTTTCTCAGTAATAAAATCTTTCGACGGTTTTCCGTTTCAACTATCCGTTTCAGTATCTGTTGTAGAAGTCGCCTTCAAGAAATACAATACTCATTTTGCTTGCCATCTGCGTAATTCAATCCCTTTACCTTCGAAGTAAGACTTAAGAGCTTACTTTTTACCTATTTAATATTTAAATCATAAACAGAGCTTATAGTGAACACTCAATTATAATCCTGAGAAAAGGTTAATGATGAAAGGCCAATTATACTCATTGAAGGTAATGCGTTGGGTTTCTATAGATATTTCCAGGTTTTAGCCGTCATGCTCAGTACTCGTTGGATGTTGTAACAGTTGTACCGATGCACAAATAGAAAGCATCACTTGAAATAATTCATGAAAAACGTTACCGAATCAGGATCGGCTCTGCCAATAATATGTTCATAAGCTGACCAATTAATCGAGCAGAAAGGGTATTGCTGGGCCTGGAACTCTGACCAGGGGCAGTGTAACCCTTGCTCAATGAACACCTACAAAGACACAAAACAAGGAATTTGCAAACGTTGTCCTATCGGGGCCACATCTCCCGTTCTGTCAGAAGACTGTCAATGTGTTGAAGGATACATGTGGGACAGCGTAACTCACGGCTGTGTATATTGTAAGGATGGTTCAGACTGTTCACTGTGTGAAACTCTGCTCTATTGGACAGAACTGGAGTCAAGATCTGAACACCTGCCAGGACTGTCCTTCATCTACTACTTACTCCCTCCCAGTCCCCTACTGGTCTCTCACACTGCATTTGCCAGGGTTACGCATTCTTCAGTTCAGATCTTGGAAAATGTATCAATTGTCCTCTCGGGATGGTGCGGCTAGAAGGGGCGACTTCTTCTGGTCACTGTCTCCCTGTCCCACTTATAGTAATGGAGAAGGATGCAGCTGTAAGAGAGGACATGGTTGGATCTGGACCAAATACTTTGCTGGATCTTGTCAACCTTGCCCAGCTTCAACCGCGTACAATAACCAAGATCAGGGCATTTGCAGAGATTGTCCAGATAAAGCCACTTCTCTACCACAATCTTCGCAGGTGAACTAAGGTGGAACGGGACGGGTTGTGTGGATTGTGAAACATCGACCAGGTAAAGAAGCGGAATATGCAGCTGCCCTGCGGGAACGTTTTGGAACAAGGGAACCAGGCGAGAGGTGCCAAGAAAATCATTTCAGCGGAAAGCACTCGTCTTCTGTACAAGGTGTCCTGAACATACCATCTCTTCTGAAGACAAAACTTTTTGCCAAAGGCCGAGTAACAACATCAAAAAGACCGATAAAATGAAATTACAGGTGAAAGAAGGAAATGGAGGTTCCGAGAAGACCGGCCTCAGAGATACCAAGCAGTAATAAAATTTACGAAAAATGTGCCTGAAACTTTGCAGTATAACAGGGCTAAGAAAGTCTCAAAGAGAAGGGCGCTCGCAAATAGACTACAGCACCGAGTTATAAGTAAGCGACAACGCGTAAAGAAAGATCACTCGCGACAAATGACTATGATCTTCTATCAACAACATATCATTTTAATTTCACTGCCATTTATATTGCCGAATTTACATCTGCCGCGCAAAACTTTTTATCTATTATTACTAAATAGTAATTAGCATGTTTACAAATTGCGACTTCAACCAGTTTTGCAGACCGTTAGTTATATAGTACTTTTAGTAGGGCATTTATTTTAATATATTTTATTTTACATTATTATATTTTTAGTGTGACTTCTATAATTTCATTTATGTAATAACCATTGATTAATAAATTGCGGCACACGCCAACCTCCACCGTGGGGTTTCAAAACAAAACAGGGAACCCGGTCACAACTGTTATTGTGACTTATAGCCCGACAGAGGGGGCGACTGTCGACGAAGCAGAAAACTACTACGACAGCCTTGGTGGTGCCATCGACCAGATACCAGCCCACAACTTACTATTCGTTGTAGGAGACCTCAATGCGCATGTCTCATCATCAGGAAACTGGACATCCTTCCACAAGGGTCCAGCAAACCGAAATGGTAGACTGCTAGAGGATATGCTGTTGGAGCGACAGCTAGAAATCACAAACACCAGATTTCAGAAGCGAAGAGGTAAACTTTGGACATATCTCTCAGATATGAGTCAAAGTAAATCTCAAATCGACTTCATCATTTGCCGGAAGAAATGGCGGAACTCCGTCAAAAACTCCGAAGCATATGGTAGTTTCCACAGTATTGGCTCGGATCACAGAGTAGTCGTAGCAAGGGTAAAGCTTAGTCTACGGATAAGCAAGACGGAGAAGAGGGCTCCGGTTCTGGACTGGTATAAACTTAAAACTGATATCGCTCTACAAGAGAGGTACACAGTGGAAGTTAAAAACCGCTTTTCCATACTTGAAAAGGATGATCAGACAGAAAGGTACCATGCTTTATTGATGCGAATAGGACAACTTCTCGACTTTTACTACCTGAAAAGGAGAAAAAGAAAAGATGTAAAATCTCAGCGACTCCAAGTGTTGAGATTGCCAGGCTGAAGCTGAGGGAATGTAGCATAAAATACCACTCAGATGCTACAGAAGACAACCGAATAGCTGTTCAAGAGGGCAAACAAAAGCTAGGCGATGCTTATCAAGCAGCCAAAGAGCACCTGCTGGAGGGGCAGGTCCGGGAACTGGAGGAAGCAAGTTGGCAGGGCAGACATGCTAAAAGCTGGACCATGATCAACAAGATCACAGGTAAAGCTCCATCATATACTGGCAAAATCAAGGGAAACTCACCAACGGAAAGGGTTCAGAAATGGAAGGACTATTTTGCTACTCTTCTCGGCTCACCACCGACGGTAGAGAACGCGGAAGAGGATATTGATCCAGTCCACCCACCTCTGAATATCGGAACAGAACCGTTTACGTTGGATGAGTACAGGAAAGCAAAGTCCAGCATAAAGGAAGGGAAAGCATGGGGTGACGACAACATAGCCCCCGAAGTCTTAAAACGATGCGACCTTGATCAAATTGTCTTAGACTTCTGTAACAATGCTCTATTGAAAGGTGAGAAACCAGACCAATGGTCAACTGCCAACATCATACCAATTCCAAAGAAGGGCGACCTTAGCGAACCAATGAACTATCGGGGAATAAGCTTGTCATCCCTAGTTGCCAAGTCTCTAAACAAGATGGTTCTAAACCGGTTGAAGCCAGAAATCGAGGACAATTCTGCGTAGAAACCAGAATGGATTAAGACCAGGAAGGTCAACAACTCAACAGATATTGGTACTGAGACGTCTTATAGAGGGTGTCAAGAGTCGGAAACTGCCAGCTGTTCTGACATTTATAGACTTTAAGAAGGCTTTCGACAGTGTACATCGTGGGAAAATGCTAAAGATTCTAGAAGCTTACGGCATTCCAGTCAAAATCGCGCAGCTTATACGGCTCATGTACGAGAAGACAATGGCCAAAGTCCTAACTCCAGACGGAGAAACTGAATTGTTCGAGATACTTGCAGGTGTGTTACAGGGTGATACCTTAGCACCTTACCTCTTTGCAATAGTCATCGACTACTGTATGAGGCAAGCCATAGGCGATGATGCGGAGCGACTTGGGACTCACCCTCGAACGTAGAAAAAGCAGAAGAGTGGGGCCCAAGATCATCACCGATGTGGACTTTGCAGATGATATAGCACTTATATCTGAGGACATGGACAAGGCTAACGAGTTCCTGCTCAGAGTAGAATCGGCGGCAGCAAGCGTGGGACTACACATAAACGAAGGCAAGACCAAGGTCATGACACTGAATATGGAGGATCGATCTAGCGACCTACAAAGTCGATCCGGGGAAGCCATAGAAAATGTAGATGATTTCATCTACTTAGGCTCCTGGATTGAGAGCACAGATAGGGAGATAAGGGTTAGAAAGGGAGAAGCGTGGGGTGCCCTACATAGACTGAAGGATATCTGGAAATCCAAACTCTCAAAGAGCCTCAAGATTAGATTGTTCATAGCGGCTTGTGAATCAGTACTGCTCTACGGATCAGAAACCTGGACACTGACAAAGGCTCAAGAGAAAAGTTTGGACGGGACATACACAAAGATGTTGCGTATGGTGCTGGGTATCTCATGGAAGGACAAGGTCAGCAATATACTTTGTATGGTAGCCTCCCAAGGCTGTCAAACAAGTTACGAAGCAGGAGATTAAAAATGGCGGGACACTGCATCCGACATCCTGAGCTACTTGCCAGTGATTTAGTCTTATGGGAACCTACGCACGGTAGAGCACAGCAAGGCCGACCAAGACAAAGGCTACTTGTCTATGTTACTGAAGGAAGTTGGGACAAACTCTAAAGAAGAACTGCGAACCCTGATGCGGGACAGGGATATATGGAGGGGGTTGTCTGGCGTAGCTCGGACTTAGCTCCGACATAGTAGTAGTAGTAGTAGTGCCTGAAACTAACTACACCAGGAAAAAAGAGTAATGGACATATTCTGGTTATTAAATTGTATTATCTCTTATCAGGTCTTATTAACTCTATCTAGAAGTTTAGATGTAGGTGAAGAATTACGAACTTTCATAGGTCAGAATTAAGATCTGTAAGTGTACATTAATATTAATGATCGTGATAATTTTGATTTGGAGTAAACGGTTTTATATTTTTGTACTTAGTCGGTGCGATAGTTAATCTTCATGCAGGACTGATTAACTCTTTGGCACTTTATTTTGCAATTAATTTACAGTATTATATATTGTTTTCTTTTGTGCAATCACATATTATTAAATATTTATGAACAAAGCCACCATAATCTCCGTAGATAAAACCGCTTTATCTATAGTCAATACAGGTTCGAATGGATTTGTTGCCTTTATGTTCCAGTTCGCGAACTCAGAAAAGAGCGATGTACAATAAATAATAGATATAAATGTAATTTTTTGCTCATTTATTGGTCGTCCTAAAACTAATACCACCTTAATTATCAAAGTACAAAGAAAATTTTGGTCTGAGGTCGCTACTTAATACTCCTACGATGCTATAGTATTTCATTTATGTACGACATAACTGCTGTATATGAGAAAATTATGTAAGTCAAAGTTGTAACCTGACGCCTTCGCTGTATCGCGTGGACCATGAGCTTAGCCATATCGTAAACCGGTATTAATCCAACAATTTATCTCAGAATAGACGGATACAAACACGAGAAAAGGAATATAAAACTGAAAGAAGGCAAAGGCAGTGAATTAGAAAGATTGGCAACAGCAGAGATTAATGATTCTATAGTTAGGGGATCAACGAGCATGTAAAATTTAATTGAGCTTCCCAGCCCTCTGACTTATCGAATTTTCAAACAATCTCATTGCTGTCGTACTCTGTTATACATTTATACTCTGTTATATACTGGGACGACTACTCTCGCTCCGCACTGAATGGCTGGGTAGGACTAATTATTGAGTCTAGTTTGTGGCTTTTTACTTATATGATAGCTTAAATTTACCTTTACCTGGATAAAGCTTTTTGTAATCTAGAGTCGACAATTCATATTATATAGCGGTTTAAGTTGAATGGTGGAACTATCTAGGTTAATCAGAAACGCGTGGGTTGGGGTGTTAATTCGATAAATTAGAGAAGATCTAATTTGTTATAATGTATAGATTAAATTCCTTGTTCACCACGAGACTCACTGCCCATGAACTTTCTATTCTATTCTAGGCAAGGTATCTCATACTCAGCTACTCTAACCAAGTGTAAGCCGGAGGAAAAGTCTATAAAGGTTTGTTAACCAGAAACAAAAAACATTTCTAATTAGACCTTTCTCGAATCTCAACCTGCTCCAGTAAGTCGAATGATCCAGAAGCTGAAATGTGAAAGTACGGCAACACCCTCACAGACAAATATTTTACTTAAACACAATAACATGTATATGTTATAGAAAATAAGTAATGACTAATAACTAATATATTTGTTAACAAAACATAATAACAATTAACAATATCTAATAGGAAGATTTGGCAATTTGATATTGAAAAACCTTCCACATTTTCAAACATTTTTATGAAACATTGCACTCAGCAATAAGCCAATAATTCTTATTAAATCAAATCATTAATAGTAGCTTAACAATTATATTAAAATCCAGTTAATATTAAAATCAATTCACGGTTCTAGTTTGTTGGTCAACTGCAACAAGTTTCAATACAAATTCAGGCGTTATTGTTTTTTCAACGAAAGCACTAATTTAATCTTTAATCATTATGTTTTATTCGTAGATAAGAGAGAATTTCAGATTAATCATTACTCCAGTATCCTATTGGCGATCCTTCATATTTCTCCAAGGCTAATTCCGTCTATGATGTTTTGAGTTCTCTAGTATTTGACCGAATTAGATTCACAAAGGAGACGAGATTTTCGTAGGTTCTTCATGGAACGTATCCATCCTTGTCAGTTTCAGTAAAATCTTTTTCTTGGCTGTCGAGTGCTGCTGCTTTAACCAGACACTGATCTTAAATCCTGAATATTTCTCTTAGAATCGTTTATCTATCATCATTTTCGTGATTCAATCCTTCTTGATTCCTTACCGATGTAGATTCACAAAGAAGACGAGCTTTTCTTATATTCTTCATTGGAACGTATCCATCCTTGTCACTTTCATCATCTCCTTGCTTACTCCTTGCTCCTTCTCTCTCTACTTCTTTGTAGGCTGGTATTGGATGCTCAATATTGTCAGTAATAGCTTGACCCTTCTTACAATCAACTCTCTCATCCGTGCGAACATGAGCTGCAGATTCTCTACTGCTGCCTTCCTCCATCCTCCCTCTCCTCTGCCTTCTGAGCAGAAGAGTGAATCCAGTGATCATTACAAGAACTATGATCAGTGAACCTGACCCTACCACCACGGTCATTCCAAGGTTAGTATTCTTACTTGCTCTGCAGTTGTTGCAACACTCGTTGTGTATCCAAAACAGATCTTGTGTCCACTTTCTGAGCACATGTAATATTCGTCTGCAGGTTCACAGTTAGTCTTGCAATCATGCCCAAAATAAAATGACGTGCAACTGTCACAGTTCTGTCCTCTTCTCCTTCCCTCACAGACCTTCTCTCCGGATGAGTTACACTTGAAGTAGCCTGGTTTTGGTTTGCAGTATTTGTCACACTGTGGTGTGAAGTAGGAATCTTCACAGGAATCACATCCTAAACCAGTGAAGTTGTCATCGCATTTTGTCAGCCTGTACTGTATAGTGAGAGTTCCTTTGCTTTCTTGACTCCTATAGTCCTGTTTTACCCATCCATCTTTAACTGTCGTGTTTGAAAACGGCACCACCAAATCAGTCATTGCTCTTTCCTCATTTCCAGACACTTTAATCGATATCGTAATACGTTTCTTTGCCGTGAAATTGACAGCAAAGGCTTCGCCAAGCTCGTCTACTCTACTTAAGTTAACTTTAACGGAATTACCGATATCATCTGTCTTCGGAAGAACGTGGAGCTCATTGCCATCTTCGTTCTCTATTAGAATGTTCTTGAAGTAAAAGTCACACACTTCCGGGAGCACATCCACACAGTCTGCCGAATCCGTGTAATTTAAAAATTGAATCTCTCCCGTTCCACCGCAGTTTATACGATTCTGGTAAATATATGAGGTCGTATAAACTATAAGTATACATGTCTTTAGTAGGTAAAGTAGGTTAACGGGATCACTATAAATTTTGCCCCAGAAACATTACAACTATGCGACTAATAAATAATGTTCCGATCCGGATATTACATAATTAAGTAGGTAAAATAGTAGATTGCCTTTTCTGGTCTATTCAGTTCAATTATGGACTATTCAATATTATTTTTCAAAATAAATACCAGCACCTCCAAAAATGAGAGCCGTAGAAACATCAATTCCAATAAATGTATCTGAATATAAATATCTTGCCATCAGAAAGGTTCAACATGTGTCAACTTACCAGTGAGAAGAGCTGCAAAACAATCAGAAGAAAAGCATCTTTTATTAAGGACATCAGATAAAGTTCAGCGGTAAAAATCAGCCATATTACTATTGAACTGGTTGAGTTTGTAGATCAACAAAGCAATATGAAAGTACAAGATTATCTTGCTGATAATATGTTCGTTTAGTACCTAACATCACATTCTACAGACCACGTGATTAACCTCGTGTCCATAAATAAGACTGGAGGGGTAACAGATACGAATCAGATCTTGTAAGAATGATGCCAATCCCCAAAGTTGTCGTGAGTATATAAGAGCTCAGAAAACGTAATTATGTATCAACTTCATGGATTTATTAATCACCTCAACTGGTGTGATTCCTACTCAACATTCAAGATTTTGCAACGTACATGCACAGCAATATGTACAGCAATATTTCCTATTCAACTTATCTTGGTGTCAAGAAAATGGGGAAGTCTCTGAGTGAGATTACCAGGGAAGCGGTTACAAACCCTCCATAAACATCCCGCTCCAAAATGCCCACTAGCTTTTTAAACCATCTTAAGATTTTCTCCTCCAACCGTACAAAGTTCTACTGATAAAAACAGATTGCAACCAGTCGAGGCCTACTGTAGGCCGTTAAGAAGTTGTACATGTTTTTAATTAGGCTTCCTACTCACAGATATTCCACTTTTACATTAGAGCGGCAGAAGAGAAGGATAAAGTGTTTTTCATAAAGGCTGGTAAAATCCTTTGCAGAGATAAGATTGAAGCTGAGGCTGAGAGATATTATGGGTCAAATATGTTTTTGTGGCGAATTAATTGGTTTGAGTTGACGTTGCTAGCTTGAGTGTTTGCAACATGTTTTTAATGTACATTTTTTTGATTTTTTAAGTGATCATACAGGACTAAACAGTTTTCGAGAGCCTATTTAGCATAGTTAATTTCTAACTTGCACATATTGTTGGAATTCATCTTTGTGACAGTGTTTATAATAAGTTATGTTCTATCTTTTAATATACTGCCTGATTAATATCACATTTATCATTTATCAGTCATATAGAGGTTAGGAGTTACTAAGTATTTTGTGCTACTTTTTTACATCAATTTGTATCTATAATAATATATTATATTTAAAGTAAACAATAAACATTGGCCAGTAAGCAAAGCTGGTCGCCAATCAATCATATCCGAACAAACGGCAGAATTTGAACAATCAGCCGAAAACTTAAGATTTTGTTATCGGGTTTGTGAACGCCGATGTGCACGACTGCCTAATTCGGTGGTATTATTCCAGAGGAGCTGTTTTCGTTAAAGTGCGTAGCAAGCTGTAAACACTATGGGACGGTATAAAATGGCCCAGGAAAGCAACAAAACTTGCTGGTTGAATCAGTGATTATAAGAGCGTCCAATCTTAGTGTTTCATATGATTATGTAGATTTGTTGAGTTTGTCGGAAATCCCCACCTGTAGGACTGTAAATTTAATGATGAACACTTTTTTGTCTGAATTTGATGAGGTATTAAGAGGAAAGGACCTAGTCTGCAGATTATGACGTCTGTTTTAAATCGATACGAATCTTAAATGTCTTATAATATGTCTAAGTAAAGCCATTTATTATCTTTTGATCAGAAAAGGTTTAAACAATTGTGTTTACTTCTCATTCTTTACTGAACTGATTAACTTCAGGCATCGACTCATAGTATTAACCTTGATTGGAATGGATTTAATTAAAGCTAAGTTATAAAACTGTCTTCTTTACTATTACATTACTTTTTTTTAAATTAATAGAACAAAAATGATCTTATCTGGTTCATATTACAAAGCGAAATTACCACTGACGCCAGAATATGATGTGATCTCTCATGTTTTAAAACTACTCAATACTAAATTTTAAACGAGGTCAGCTACTACAGGAAATATATTTGGCGACTACACGATTATCTGCTTTTGCTATAGATTCCCAGCTCACGAGTCTGTTTTTTTTGTTTCACAGATGTGGTATGTATCCACATTTGAATCTTTCTGTTGTTGACATTCCCTCCTGACGAAATTATATGTAATATCTCGGTTATTCTTTTTCAATTTAATTTTTTTACTGAATTTTCGCGCCTCATATTTTCGTGGTTAACTTATTTTTCTTTTATTTGCCGTATCGAGGACATTTCCACTCACACCACCTTTCTTGTCATTATCAGGTGAATATTTACTGCGGTGGAACTGGGAGATACAAATCCTAAGCTATCAAGATACGATACTGTGGAGAACGCAGAGAATTATTTCAATCGGGCATCCAGTGACTGAGAAATACGCACCAACGTCTGACTTTTGCCCCCCCCCCCCCCACCCCTGCATATTGTATAACTATAACTTTACATAACTTTATTTCATAATAATAATACGTATTAGTAAACATTCCATTCGCAGCCGAATTTCATCGTCAATACTGCAGAAGTTTCACAACGTGCATATTCATTGTTCAGTGCTTTAGCTTAAATGTGCATGATGTTCAGGTCTGTAATTCTGTAAGTGTATACTGATTGTATTGATTGTATTGATGCTGCTTTTCTTTCTGCACACTGAGCAGTTTGCTCTTGAAGTTAAATTTTGTTTTATGACGATCTCTTTCAAACGATTATTTTTATTCACTTTGAACTCAGAAGAATTTATACTTTATAAAGTCTTCATAAAGACTTTATTATTTCACGTTTGATTTGGTTCCCGAACTCTTATCTAGTTTAATTGATCTTCAAACTTTTTGTTGACAGCTTGACTATTTTTGTTTTATCGATTAAAATTCTTGCATGTGTTATCTTCAATCAAAGCTTTATAGGTAAAATGTCAAGGGTGGTGTCGAAAAATCTCTTTCACTTCAAATTGACTGGCAAACTTGATGAAGATTTCAAAGCGATGACTGATGCGGAAAAACTCGCTTTCGAGTCACCAGAAGTCAAGCGAATGGTTGAACGGTTTACTGAACTACAAGTAAAGAACGATGATAAGTCTAACAAGGAATTTGTGGCTATGTTCCGAGCAGGATGTGCTCCCTACGCAGAAGCCCTCAAAGCCAGCCCTAAGTTTAAAAATAGTGTTGAGCAAACCATTACCACCTCATTAGAAATTCCAACTTCACACGATGGAGATTTTGACTTGCCAATCAAAGTTTATACCCCCAAAAATCTCCAGGGAAACACGAATAACTGCGCTTATATCTACGCTCACGCAGGAGCTGGGGTGGCGATGTCCGCTGCCGATTTTGGCACCCTTTTGCGGCATTATGCTGTGGAATTTAAAGTTGTTGTGTTCAATGTTGATTATCGTATTGCTCCAGAAACTCGGTGCCCAAATAACGTCAAGGATTTTTACGAAGCCATAAAATATATAAGCAAGAATGCTAAACGTCTGGGGTGGATCCAGATAAGATTATTATCGCAGGAGACATCGGTGGAGGCTATATCTGTCTTGGTTCTATGGTGATGCTAGCTCAGAATAATGAAAGTCATTTAGTCAAACTGGCTATACCTGGTTTACCGATGGTAGACGATTACTGTTTCTCTGACCCCCTCGCCATGACGAAGGAGGAACGTAATTCAGCGGGAACTATGATGAAAGTGTGGAAAGATCTCATCGCCGCTAATTATGAAGAACAGAAGTCAAGCCCGCATCTGTTCCCTGGCAAAGCGAGCGATGAGCTGCTGGAGAAGTTCCCTCCGACAATAATAATGGAGCGTGAGTTTGACCAGTCTATCACAGAAGCCACCAGGCTGGCTCACAGACTGCGCAGAGCTGGCAGGCTACTGGAATTTGTTGTGATTCCAGGGGCTGGTCATGCAAGCTGCTTCACTCCACATTTGAAGAGTAACCAGGTGTTGTTTGACTCAATGAAGACTATTGCGACTGAGTACATCCACACTGATGACTGAAGACATTGAGCTCACAGTGGCAATCAGATATAAGTTCAATGATAGAATTTTAATTTGGAATATCATTTGTTTTAATGGTAAGCATCTTCGAGTAGCCATTTATTCTGACTAATGTCGGTTTCAGATATATAGCAGTATAAGCTGGGATTCACCAAATTTACCAGCTCGGTAAATATTTAATCGGAGTGATAAACGGATGCAACGACTAATTTTTGTAACGATTTTTATAACGATATCACAATTAAATTGATCGTTTTTAGTTATTTTCGAAGCTCAAAATGACTCTTTCATCAACTTGTTCAAGATTCTCATCACTATTACATCCCTCCGAAATAACAGGACGAAATAACATGGTTTCTAAAGTTTCTTCACTTACTGAAGTAGACGATAGCTTTATTTTCTGAACGATAGAGTTGTCCAATCTGTGGCCCCGTTCACTCTAAGAAAAATGAACTGTATTGAAATACATACTTAAAAACAGTTATTTTACTTAATATCAAATAAATCTCTGTACATTCTGCAAGTTACGTTAACTAAATCAACCAAATACGGAATACCAGTTTCAAAAAGTTGCATTTGAAATTTTGTTTATTAAGAGTGAAAGATGTAAAGTTTAAGTTTAATGAAAAATAATCAACGACACATCACAACAAATGCTGACCTGTGATCTTTGTCTCTCTGGGAGTCTACGACGAGTGGGCTCTTGAACTGTTATTTCACAGCTTATCTTCTTAACTTCAACCTAACAAACAAATCTCTGAGATGGGTAGGCATTTCACCATTAAATTGGACCTTTGAAAACCCAGAGGGAAAGTTTAGCATACAATTACTCGGAATTTAATCAAACCAATATGGCCTCCAACCAAATCCCAACTGGATAACTCATCAGTTTCCAGTTTTCATCTTTATCATCAAACATTATTTATCGTCAAACATACCTCGGATCCTTGATCAGCTATATTCTCACTGCTCCTATTATCACAAGATTTTCTATTTTCAGAATGGACGTGATGTCACCTGCTTTGAGCTTATGTTTCGCCTTTGGTAACATACTGGGCTATTCTCCTGTGATTTTAACTTTTCAGTGGGATTAAATAGAAGTTCTGTGATTTTATCAATAAAAGAATACATTAGAAATCTTAGGGTGCCCGTGAAAACTTTCAAGAGAAACATATATATTCAAACCGTCATATCCGGGGAGGGCTTTGAGGGAGAGATTACATCTGGAACCGATCTGAGTTTTATCACATCGTTACTGAATGCTTTTATTTATCAAAGTTTAAACAAAGTTTTAGTTTCGCCAAAAACTAGAAGTAGTTTTATCACATCGTTACTGAATGCCTTTATTTATTTATTTAACAAAGTTTAAACAAAGTTTTAGTTTCGCCAAAAACTAGAAGTAGAAAACATGTGTGCGCGGCCCGCGAGCAACCACAAGTTGGCGCCTTAATCACACAAAATAATCCTTTGTCGTGAGCGCGTGAATATAAAAATGCCCACCCTGGAACGAGATCAATCATTTTAGCAATTTCCAATATGGCATATGCTTATAATTTAGATTTGAGCATGATTAGATTCTAAGCAAGACTGAATGCAAGGATGAAAAGGTTTTACATACAAATCAGGTTTAGGCGAAACTAATTACAACAGTCCAAATCTGTTATAAAATTTATTAAGGTTTAGCTAGTCCACACCCTATAAGCTCCATAATATGAAGAATTTGTTTCACATCTAGATGAAAAGCTACGGAATTTGTATGGCATTAATATAAAACATCATCCAAACACGAATAAATTGAAATTGGAAGCGACCTTGGCATGTTTGGTGAACCGTTCTCTGACTTTGTCCAGCCCCTCTGAAATTGTTCATGTTTTCGTGTATTCTAAAGTTCTAACAGCTCCTTTAATATCTTAAACTCGAGAGTTGCTGACGATACTTTGGGTTATAGTACGCGTCCTGTTTTAAGAATGTCATGATTAAACAGGACACTCTGAGAGTAGGAACCAGACACAGAACTACCTATGAAACTAGTGATTACAACTGCACAAGAAAGTAATAGAACTTACAAAGTCCTTTCGCCGTTGAGCTTTCTTGCGTCTCAAAAGCCGGTTTGAGTTAAAACCTCGTGGTACAAACAACAGCTCTTCGTCAGACCCCTGATGTAATATAATATTAAATTTATGTTATACATAATTATTTCATTATATCAAACACTGAAACACACGAAAATTCCGAATAGATAATAGTTATAAATGCTTGAACCCTAATTCCACATCTTCTCAAATTAATTCTCATTATTAATATATGTCAAGTAATCAAAAGATTTTGCACAAAAACTTGTAGAATCATAACACATCTGAAGCACAAAGTTTGGTCTCCATATCTTCACAGGTTGGCAGAGCGTGCTGTTCAATCTGAGTCCTGAGCTCACGAAGTTTCACCTCAACGCCATTCATGACGTTGCAAGCACCCCTAACAACCTCAAGTTGTGGAGCTACAACTCGTCCAGCAACTGTCCCCTGTGTGGACTATATCCTTACATGCTGTCCTTTGTTCTTGAAGCAGGGAAGATACAATTGGAGACATGATCATGATCATATTGTACAAGAAGTGGAGAAGATAAGGGAAGCGAACAACTCTACTCCCAAGACAGATGTTGGGCCCTTAAAACGTCGTTTAAAACTACATTCTAGAGATGTTAGTCCCGGACACCAGAAGAAATTAGATATGAAATTATATTAACCTTAGCAGTTGCTAAGAAACCAATCCAATTTAAAGCATGATTTCAGGATCGATTATCTGAACTTTCTCTGTAAATCACCAACAGCTACGTCTATAATAACTCTGATACTCATACAGTATGTTACAGTGATTCTGAGGTTAGATGGGCGGATACAGCAAGCCAATTGGTCACGTGTCACAATAATAGTGTATCACTTTCCAGATTAATGTTATCTAAAATTATTTATCCAAAAACGATGTTTAGTGAGAGCTTCTGACGGATAATTTACTAAATACATCGTCTACTAGTGCCTTATTAATGATTGGGTTAGTGGTGATCACTAGTCAGTACCAAGACATCTAACTCAATATCGAAATGACAACGAGGTAAAATCGCTAAAGTTGGAATCTGGAATGAGGAATCGGATAGGGGTATATTGGACAATTGAACCATTTATGCGACAAAATGGGGCACAGGAGAAGGTAATTGGATATACAATACACACTTACGGGAGCCTAGTAAAATTTACTGATTGAAACGGCATAGAATTACTTATGGGTAGATGGTTGGGAAAATAGAGTAATCGAGATTAATCGTAGAACGTTCACTCAAATGTTACTCAATAGCAGAACACGAATGACGAATTATTCTGAATTGTATCAAGTCTAACATCCAATTTAAAGATTCTAGAAATGGTTTGACGAACTTTAGTTTGATAATTACAACAACATTGATAATCCCAAACATTAGTAATAACAAACAAATCCCAAGTATTTGAAGTGACACCTGATTATATCCGGATGAAGAGAAGATGAACTCCACCTCTCTGTCTTCTGGTTCAGTAGAGGAAGTGGAGTGGGTTGCTCTGTGTAGCACAGGAGCAGGAGGTAGGGATACACTTGCTAACTGCACCTGGGTGGTTACCATATTGAACATGTTGACGACCAATTTTCAGTGCTTACCAAAACAATCCAGATCAGACTCTTGGATCCTGGTGCTGTTTCGTTTGATAATGTTCACGTGGCAACATTCAGAACATTTTAATGATTTTGTTAAACTGCAACTTACCTTTTGAGAGTCAGCACCACAGTCCAGACTGGCTCGGTTCAGGAGTTTTACTCTGGACACTTTAGACCTCACTGCTCGAACCTCGCTCTAACAGACATTAAATTTAGAAATGTAGAATAACAAAGTGGTGACAAGATTACTGAACGTTATTAGGTTACAGGATTAAGAAACCACTGTGCTGGAATAATGATCAGTCAAACATTGCTAATAACCAAGACACAACGTAATGCGTTGTATCTGAACACAGACAGAACGCTTTGCTTACCTCAAACTTGCCAACGAGAATAGCAACCGATGCACGCTTCTTCATATTTTTCTTCGGTTTAGTTTCTGTCGATTTTTGAGTCTCTATATCGTTTCCGGAATCTGAAATGTTTTCTTTTAACTTGAAACTACTACACGTAATATGCTGATTTTATCAGGGGGTTGTCGATAATGCCTAATAATAATGCCTAATAATATAACGGGTAGGCAATGAGTCACTGCTGGAAGCTGGTCAATCGCCATAAAAAAGGTGAATATTGAATCTGCAAGTTTTAAAGCTAAAAATTCACCAATTTCAGTTGATTGAGAGTTGTTTTCATGACACACCTCCTCCTCATCATCTCTGAAATACGTAACGGTTGATTTATTTTGAAGCCTACGAAATTATAAAAATACAATAAAAGTGGACCGTGCAATTTAAACTATTTTAGGTAACAATAAAATTTAGGTATAAGTTTGAAATAACGATGTTATCCGTCATTCTGTTCATTTTGTAGGGCATTTTGATTGAGTTAAACACTCAATCATGTGATACGACACCTTTCGCCCGACGCCCTCCAGCACCATACCCAATCTCCTGATCCCTATGCAATGAACAAACATACCCATGCAATGAACAAACACAATATGCTAAATATCTTGGTTATCTGAGTAGATAATGCTCTAATTTTTTAATTTGAGTTCCTGTACATTTAAAACCTCAATTTGATACTTCCCTTGATATCTGATTCTATCTGCTCTCGCCGGAAGGTACCTTGCAATGTAAGTTTAACTGCAATATCGATATTACCATAGCTATATATAGCAACATAACATAGCTATATATAATATTTCAACATATCTATATAATATATATACAATAAATACATATATATCATACATAAAAACTTACCCTAACTGAGCGTTTTTATCTTTGTCGCTGAGAACTGAAAAGGTGCATATTGTAGGACAAAAATATAAATAATCTATTGTTAATGTCTAAATAATAAACTTGATAACTTTCACCTTATAATACCTTCCGGGAATTATATCCACTAAAAGTCTCGGACACTGAGAGCTGATAATTTGCCGATATATCCCGCAAAGGAAGCCAAGGTATTATCAGCATAGACCTCAGACTGGCTGGCGGCAAGTTGTAAAACAAATAACACTGGCGTTCTATATATTAGACACTATATTGTATCATGCGCACGTATCGGATTACACCCCTTCCAATTCGGAACCGGAAAATATTATAATACATAACACCTTGGCAATTTCGTGCCCGCGCGTTCCCTCCAGCAAGCTGTCGGGAATTATCGCGCTCAGCACTCAATAGCCAAGGTATTATTATATTATAACGCTTCATATGATGTGAGACATTAACAAAAACACAGTGTTTATACTTTATCCATTAACAACAGTCCATACTCCAATATAGTCATGGATACTGTATCCATTACAGTCATGGATACTGTTTGGTTAGAACTGATCAAGAAGTGTTTGTCTAACTATTAACGTGTAAGTTTGCCACTTATTTTCAATAATGAGTCCTATCCACTCGAGTTGATATTTCGCCAAAGTCATAATTTCAAGATTATGAACACGCTTATGAAGCGTTATGAATAATGAACGTTCATGAAAAGTTTATGTTAGATAAATGTTTACCGAATCTTTTCACAGCTCTGGAAATCTTGTCACGTGACCGATGTTTCTGCATTTTACCACTTGTCTCATGGTTCACTTTAGTTCGTTGGAACGACCTCGACTTGCCAGCAGAGCTTTTCATTTTATTGATAATCTGCCATGAAATTAAATGATTCAATACGTTATGCCTGATCGTAAGATGGTATCCAGCTGATATGGAAAGTTTGATAACAATTAGTATTGTAACACCAGCAAATAATAAGAATACGAATAAAAGTAATTAATATAAATAATTATATTATGTTCTCTACTTACATGGAAACAAACTCTAGGAGGTCCATACCCTGCTGTCTTTTTGATACCAACGATACCTAGTTGGATGGATTAGTTGAGTCTCATATTATTTTTAACCAGTGACCAATAAGTGAAATCAGTGTGAGTGAAAATCGTGAAAATTTCCTACTGGTAGTACATTTTCAGCTGGTTAACAAATTATGTATGAGTTGACCCACTACCACTCTTAATTTTAATACTTTCAACACTACTATTTAACAAATAATTTTAGCCTTGTAATACAAGTTAAGTACATCATGGACGATATGGAATTATTAGAACGTTTGTCGCTCTATATATTTGACTGAAGCGCATCAGGACTTTAATACTTGGATTACAAAGGGGGGGTGCCACTGTCCATTTTGTCCATTTTGTCTTTGTCTTTTTTTACATTTTTTTGTGAAGGACAGTGTTTTGGGGACAAAATGGACAATACTAAGGACAAAAGGGACAAAAGGGACACAAATTTTGGACAAATGAGACAAAAAATTAGACAAGCTCAAATGTAGAGTAAAACAAAATTTAGTAAAAGAAAATTTGTATTTACCACAAAACACCAAATGAATAAATATAAATCTAAATTCAGCTATATACTCAATACACAGCCTGCCGCGCAGACAGCCACACATTGCTGAGAGATTCTCAGGTGCAGATGTAAGCGCCGCGCGCGCGAGGTTTTTTATCTTACAATTACATGTCACGATATATTATTAATTATCACAGCATTTTAGAAGCATGAGCAAAATAATTATTGCATATTGGGAAAATTTCGGTCGTTAGCGCAGTTAACGCGAGCGTAACTTGAGCAAAGCGCAACTTGAGCAAAGCGCGAGCGCATGCGGAAAAGGACCGCGTAGCTAGTCAAGATGTTGATAAATATATGATTTGTGACGCGATCTGTGTTGCTCTAACTATAGCCTGCTCGCTTGCAGTAGCGCGCGACCGCCGGAGGCGGAAATGACTTGTGGAACAAGTTAGCTTGGTTAGCTAGGTGAACGCGATGTGCCTTGAAGGATGAAATCCTGCCAGGCTAGGACATCGTCCTGGTCCAAAAAATTTTGGCGAGCGATTTTCTCCAAAAATTTAATGAGGGCGCCGACTTCCACTCTGGCTAGGTTTTTTCTTACCCAGCGCGCGTTCCTTAATGGGATGAGGTAAAATTAGGTAAAAAGAATCCACTGACTTCCAATTCCATGTAATCTGGCCTGGCCAGAGTGCTTTCATAAAACTCAATTACTAGCTTGGCGTTGTCAGTTGTAGAATTATATACTTTAATTTCGGAGTGAAGCGAGTGATACACATTACTTTGATTAAACTCATGCTGATCACAATACAGTACAGGGAGGTGGTGACTTAACTTATGGTGGATCTTCATTTTAAGCCATCAAAGAGCATGCTGGTGTGTATGAAAGTACTTTAATCCTCTTGTCCAATGTCCATTGCTATAGTCTGGGCCATGCGCGCGCGCGCGCGTTTACAAACATGATATCCTCAGTCCTTTCACAAATACTGAGATTTTGTTTTAAACTTAATTGAATCTGAACCGAAATTGCCAGAGAAAACAGATAGTGTAACTCAGAAAGACCACAAATGTATAGTTTGTGAGATATTGAGGTTATACTCCAAAAAATTTACAATGATGTCACACTTCACCTAACCATGTGCTTTCGCGCCACTTCGGGCGCGCTTGTTTCACAAGGGTGCAAGGGCTCTGGATATAGCAAATGTCACACCAGAAAATCCCTATTTTTGGAATATTTAACCTCATATCTCGAACGCGCAGTACTAGATTGAGCTAAACTTCGTTAGGTTTTGTAGCTTTGACTATCCTCGATCATATGGAACAGGAATAAAACTGTTTAGATGTTATATCTTAATTATATTAGGCACTTAGTTCACCTTACCATGTGCTTTTGCGCCACTTCGGGCGCGCTTGTTTAATGCCGTGAGGCGGGCGCGCGCTACTGCAATTGCAAGGGCTCTGGATAGAGCAAGGCACTTAGTTCTGAAAAGTGAGAATGTCATTAATACAATGATTGTCAATCAATAGGAGGATCAACATGATACACAGATTAAAGTGTTACCAACATGATTTAATATTGACGATGTCAATTCATGGCAGCTCGACGCGGCACAGTAGCGCATCTCGCCGATCTAGCCTGTGAGAAGCCTCATTAAGTGCGCGGCGCGGCACAGTAAAGCATCGCGCTTCAAGTAGTTGGCGTGCACGTGATCTTTTGCGCGGCTGTAATTGGTTCTGAACGATCACGTGAATGCGAGTCACGTGCGCTGCAACATCCAATGAACATTCGCACTTTTTTTCAGGGCGATGGAGGTCGTAATTCACTCAGCCCGAATAAAGATTCGGCGGAATGACAGGCTGAGCGCAGCCCGCGCCCAGTAACTGAAAAAGTTACCAGGGGACCCCAGGCTATTATGTTCATAAACATTATGAATGAAGAATAAAGATTTGGCGGAATGACAGGCTGAGCGCGGCCCAGTAACTGAAAAAGAAGCTAAATGTAAACAACTGTGGAACAAGAAGGAACGCTTCCTCAGACACAGGAAGCATAAAGAATCGACACCCTGTACCCTATCGGAAATCAGCGACTTCTCTTTACTGTCCAATTTGTCCCTGTCAATTTGTCTCGTTTGTCTCTGTCCTTTTTGTCCATTTTGTCCATTTTGTCCCCGCCTTTTTTTGTCTTTTTTGTCTTTTTTGTCCCTATTATCTTTTTTGTCCCTTTTGTCCCTTTTGTCCCTCTTGTCCATTTTGTCCCTTTTGTCTTTGTCTTTTTTCAGTTTTTTTTGTGCAGGGATAAAATAGACAGTGGCACCCCCCCCTACAAAACGTGAAGAAGCCTCAACCTGTGATGAGTCAGAGTTTTCAGCAGAAAAAAAAATTGAAAAACCGCTTAAGAAAGTTATGTCACAGTTGATGTACAGTGTGTACTGTGTACAGTAACACGAACCAATTTGGTCAAGAAGCTGTGAGTATAACGACAGATATTGAGGAGTTGAGCAATCTTATTCGGTCACAGAATTTGGTTGTCAAGCTGCAGAGTGAACTTCTCGAAGGCAAATCAAAGCAGTTGGAATCTGTTCAGACCACCGCCTAAGCCCTAATCTGTCGTTCAAGAAACTGTACAAGCTGAGATCAGGTCATACAGTCAAGCTGTTTTAAAAGTCTCACCGGAAACTACACTGACAGAACAGAGCTTAAAAAAGGTTGTTCAGAGTGCTGTATCGAAAGAGGACCGCAGTAGGAATCTTGTCATCTTTGGTTTAAAGATATTACTGAAATCGAAGGACCTGAGACTGAGTCAGCACCACAAAACTGTTTTCATTTCTCCGGATCGGTCACCTGAAGAGCAAGCCAGACACCATCTGCTCGTATTGGAGATGAAACAGAAGGCAAAGGACGATTTTAATAGATGCTATTATAGTATTATATAAGATGTCTTTTTCGCTCACCCTTTAGAGCTGCTCTGACATGTTTAGTAGCTGGCACTTGTGCCGGCTGCTAACCATATGGGCGGGATATAAGCACATTATTTCATTTCATTTTATTGGCACAAGTACTTGGTGAAAGGATCCAGGCAGTTGTAATCAACTAATTAGATAGAAATATTTGTGAACCCTGATTCCGAATCGCCCCATGCGTATTATAGGTTTGAAATGCTTCCCTGGAAATCTATCTGCGATAAAGTGTTTTGATCACGTGACATGACCATACCAAAAAGTACGTGAAATTTATCGTTAGCTGCAGTTAGGGTGCAGGTTTAATTAGCAATTAGTAAATGTTTGAGTATATAAGGGATTGGCTTAGGATCCAAGTGAAGGTTTTTGAATTGTCTGTCCTAGGGCCAATGAGATCTAGAAAACGTGCGGAACTTATTCACGTTTTTGGAGCACAGCATTTCATATCTTGTAGAGCTCGCAGTAACAACAAACAATGTTGTGAATAAAGATTTTGCCTAGTACAGGGTGGCCTAAAAGTAACTACCTTAGTCGGTAATATTATAGGGGGTATAATTTGGTCCTTTTCGGGCCAAAGAACCATATTTATAACAGTCCATATTTTTACCCCCCATATTTAACCCCCGGGTCAAATTTTGGTGTTCCTTTTGGTATATCAGTCATAAAATGCTTAAAGTTTCTTTCATTCACGTCCAGAAGTATGCTTACGTTATTGTCTGCTGAATTGAAACTAGTTATGGTTCAAAAAGTCCGATTTATCTATTATCCCCCATCTTTTCAATTTCAGATCAGCAACTTCAGATGAATAATACAAGTTCAGCAGCAGCTGTTTCGATCGCATTTTGTGATAAACATTGATTTAATTGAGAACTTTAACATCTGATAGGGATAGGGGAGCTGGTGGCTCAGTTGGTAACTCCGCCTGGCATTGCTTGAGGTGCCAGGTTCGATTCCCGACTCTGCCACTAGCCTTGGGCTTGGTGGTGTAGTGTCGGGCAGCGCGGCCAGCAATCGTTAGATCGCTGGTTCGAGCCCCAGCACTGCATCATTAATCCCACCCCCCTGCTGTGTGGAAACAGCAGAGTAAACCACACCAATTACAACAAATCGAAAACTACACTTAGTTCTAAGAATAATTCTCTCGGAGGCGGGTGTATGTGAGTAGAAAGCGTGACGACGCTTCCAATTAACGTACCCCAATTGCAACAAACACACAATACACACAATATATATAATAACGTGTACACATTGCCGTTACATCCGATAAGACGAGCAAATACCTTACTAAGCCTTGTGCACGTCACCAATATATACCAGTTACACTAGATACACCAAAACATTAACTCCTCGGCATCGACTTGTGGTTGTGTGTAAGATTAATGGCTTAGCAAAGAGTGAGTATAAACGCATATCAAATATAAGTATGCAATCCCCGGGATCTACGGCAGTCATTATTAGGAGGGGCGCCCCCAACCCAACTGCCATTGCTCAGCAATGGTACCAGCAGGTTCGTCCTGGAATAGTGGACTCGATGCAAATCAGCTGGGCTTCAGTAGGACCCATCGTTCTCATGGGTCGCTTGCTCGCAAGAGTCAAGTTGTTATATGGACACGTTCATTGAAGTTTGAGGATATTGGTAAATATTAGTGACCCTACTAAATGGCACGATGATGTAAAATGTGTCACACTATAAAACTATATAAACCCTCAATGGTTAGGATAATCGTTTCATCCTCTAGATAAACTTTGTCGCATAACGATATCTTTATCAGACGATAAGATATCGCTTAAACGCGGCCGGCAGTGAGTTGTAAACTTTGTCACACTATAATGAAAATCTTTTCAAAATTTTTTTTTTTTTTTTTTTTATTTTTTTTTTTATTTTTTTAATTTTTTTACATACAATATAACATGTGGCGCAAAATAAAATCGAGATATAACTGATTGCTATCTCTAAAGGACAGATGTATGCAAATTTCAAAGGGAAACCAGAACGCAGTAAAATTGTAGTCGAAACCACACCGCACAAGCCTAGTCCCTGGTAAATGAAAATCAATCAAATAATATGTTGATAAAAAATCATATCCCATCAGTCCTTCTCGGAGCTTACGATCTTATTGTTCCTTATAACATGAACTCGCTTAGGCTCCAATTCCCGTTTTCTGCTTAACTTCAAGAACTAACTTCCTGAAGGCAGCTCTCTGCTCGGCTGATCGGTCGGGGCTGATGTACACTGAGTCATACCCCTCCACTTCTCTTAGTTTTCTCGCTTTGCTCAACACTCGCCGCACATGATCTGAGCCGCTAAGAGTGAACTTGATAGGTTTAACGGCTGGTCCTCCATCTGATACAGTTCTCCCCATCCTACAGCAAGAAACGATTCGAGGTTTCTCATCTATGTTTTCTAGTACCTCAAGCACTCTCTTTTCCAGGATTTCTTCACTCTTTTCTGGTAGACCGTAGATGACCAGATTTTGACTACGATCCTCTTCCTCGGAGGCACTTTTCAGAGCAGCTTTCATTTTCTTAGGCGCTAGCGCCTTGCTGCATGAATTCTTCACAACTGACGACCAGGCTTTGAGTTCGCTTTTCACTGTCGTCTGAACAGAGGTCAAATCTTCACTTTCTTCTCAAGCAATTGTCCTTGCAGTTTAATCACAGTGTTCTGATCTGCAATCTTTTCGTCCTTCAGTTGGTCGATTTCATCTTGTAGTTTGGTGGCTGAAAACAACAGCGGTGAACAATAACTGTCGAGAATGTCGATAAAAGTTTCCATCCAATCACACAGTATAGCCTTGGTGATCTGAGGCTTGTTGAGCGTTCCTTTACGTAACACATTGGATTTCTGAACACCTGCCGCTTAAAAAACGTGACAGAGTTTATATGGACCCCTTGTTGCCGTGTTTGACCAAATTTTTGAATTTCAAATTTATAGGATAGTTGCATATGACTATGACTATTATCTACATATTTAGCGACTTTTTTCGTTAAATGGTAGCACCATGTAAACTCTGTCACACATTTAAGAAATTTATATGAGGGATGTTTATGACATCCTGACAAGAAATGCCGAATAGTCTAGGATTAATTTTGTGAGCTGAATGTGTTTTGAATTGTTTACATATTTCATTGTTATAGGCAAATACAAATACAGAAGGCAGAAATGGGTAAACTTTGTCACATACATTTGTATGATATCTCAACATGTGTGAAATTGAGTAAATATTAGTATACCAACTTAAACACCATATATTACGTACTATGGATCAATTAACAATATTTCAACCACACACCGGTCATATAAATTATTATATGGCAGTGATATGTTAACATTGGCAAAATTTCAACACCTGAACATGGTACAAATTTGTAAATTTCGTCACAAAAAATTATGATAACTTTATTTGCTATTTGTTGGCAAAATAACTAGTTTATCGACATAGGTATGGTGATAAAGTAAAATTATATCCTATTCGAGGTATGATTCTTCAAAATAGGGGGCAAGAAATGTAAATTTCGTCACATCAGCCCTTGCATTAGTTAGATAGATTTTCTTTCGTATCAACAGTCCTTATTATAGTTAGAATGGATTTACACAGGAAATATAGAAACCCATGCCAATTTTTCGTCACATTGATATTATACTGTTGGGGCAGGAAAAGTAAATTTGGTCACATTTCAGTAACTTAGTAAAATTAAACTCAACATTGTTAAACTTGAGTTCTAATTTGCTGAACAATAACCAACCAATAATTCCTGGAAGAAAATTGAATTTTAACTGAGGTATGGTTCTTTAAAATAGGGGCAAGAAATGTAAATTTCGTCACATACGTAATTTAAAATGTAGATAGATTTTCTTTCATACCAATAGTCCTTATTATAGTCGGAATGGATTTATACAAGAAATGTAGAAACCCATGCCAATTTTTCATCACATTGAAACTATACTGTTGGGGCAGGAAAAGTGAATTTCGTCACATTTCAGTAATTTAGTAAAATTAAACTCAGCATTGTTAAACTTGAGTTCTAATTTGCTGAACAATAACCAACCAATAATTCCTGGAAGAAAATTGAATTTTAACCGAGGTATGGTTCTTCAAAATAGGGGCAAGAAATGTAAATTTCGTCACATACGTCATTTTAAAATTTAGATAGATTTTCTTTCATATCATTAGTCCTTATCATAGTTAGAATGGATTTATACAGGAAATATAGAAACCCATGCCAATTTTTCATCACATTGAAATTATACTGTTGGGGCAGGAAAAGTAAATTTCGTCACATTTCAGTAACTTAGTAAAATTAAACTCAGCATTGTTAAACTTGAGTTCTAATTTGCTAAACAATAACCAACTAATAATTCCTGGAAGAACATTGAATTCTAACCGAGGTATGGTTCTTCAAAATAGGGTCAAGAAATGTAAATTTCGTCACATACGAGTATGTCATTGTAAAATTTAGATACAATTTCTTTCACGTGAACAGTCCTAATTACAGTCCGAAATGATTAATACAGAGATACAGGAAATATAACAACCCCTGCCCATTTTATAATGTATGTTATATGTTAACCACAGACTATTTCATTCTATAATCATTTTTTCCAAATTTAACCTATTTACGATGTCATTTTGTGACGATGTTTACATCGACTGCCCTATACTTGAATCAACTGTATCCGTGTATCGTCCTTATATAGAGTTTTCCCGCAAAATTTAACTTATTTACGATGTCGTATCATTTTGTGACGATGTTTACATCAACTGCCCTATACTTGAATCAACTGTATCCGTGTATCGTCCTTATATATAGACTTATAGAGTTTTCCCGCAAAATGTAACCTATTTACGATGTCGTATCATTTTGTGACGATGTTTACAACAACTGCCCTATACTTGAATAAACTGTATCCGTGTATCGTCCTTATATAGATTTTCCCCGCAAAATGTAACCTATTTACGATGTCGTATCATTTTGTGACGATGTTTACATCAACTGCCCTATACTTGAATCAACTGTATCCGTGTATCGTCCTTATATAGAGTTTTCCCGCCTTCCAAACCAAAATCAGATATAAATGATTTCGGAAATTCACCCAGAATTTCAAATTCCATATAATGTGACAGAATTTACATCATTTCCCAATAACCAAGTGCATGTATTTGCTAACTTTTCAAAACAAAATATTTTAGGGCTATGATTGGCAGAAGAACCATCAAATAATGAGTTGAAAGGGTTTTGAGGACACCTCACAGTAGAAAAGAGGTCTCGTATTCTGAGTGTGACAAAGTGTACGAAATATTGCCTTAAAGCTGTTCGATCCGTGCCATTTAACCAATGTTGTATCATAATTGTTAGATTGACCTAATCTACTATATTTCAGACCAAGGAATGATAATTGGGCAGCTATGGTAAACAATGTCAAAAAAAATGTGACATTTTTTACATTATAGTGCCTAAAAGCAATACATTTTATTTCTGAGGCAGTGCATATGGGAGTATGGGTCACGTGGCTAATGTTCAGAACTTATGAACACGCTAGATTGATAGATGCTAAAATTAAGCCACTATCGTCGAAAACGCTATTTTAGAAATTTACCAATATCCTCAAACTTCAATGAACGTGTCCATATACTCGTTTTAGCAGTTTTAGTACTAGACATTAAACAGTATTTTACCGTAGTATTTTAGGGCATTTATTAGTGTACGACATTTAGTACAGCAGGGTAGTGCAGAGAGTTCAGTTTAACACCTCTGTTTTGGGGAACAGAGAGTTCATTTTAACATCTCAGTTTTGATTATCAGAGGGTGCATTTTAGCACCTCTGTTCTGGTTACAAAGAGGATAGTTTAGGAATTGCTTAGAGCAGGGAGTTTTGGGGAGCAGAGAGTTCATTTTAACATCTCTGTTTTGATTATCAGAGGGTGCATTTTAACACCTCTGTTTTGGTTACAAGGAGGATAGTTTGGGATTTGTTTAGGGATTGCTAAAACGAGTGGGAGATTGTTTATACTATCTAAGGATATTCAAGAGTGGGCCTGTTGGATGGCAGGACACTTTTTGGTTTGAATACAGCAGACGTTTACAGTTAATGTTTACAGTTAAAGAACTAGGCTATTCGAATTATTGACATAGTATTTGAGGAACACTGAGATATTGTAATTACAATTCTTAACGGTTTATTCAAATTGAAGTATTTTCCCTTGTCACCTTGCTGAACAAAATATAAAGGAAAAGAGCCTTTTATCAAAGTCAGTAAGTGTTGCACCAAAAAAAAATTAAAAAAATCTGATAGGGATCGGTTATCTAATGAAAAAATATTAAATTTGGTGTGAAAGCGGCAATGTGGTTATAATTGCGAATGTGGTTATAATTGCGAAAAAAATTTGATCAATATTTTCGCAGTTATAAGTGTGGGGGTCAAATTTGGTTCTTTTCAGGCCAAAGAAGAATATTTATAGCAGTCCATATTTTAAACACCCATAATTTTCCCCACCATAATATTACCGACTAAGGTAACCACAAGCAATCCTTTAATAACTCACGTGATTCGTGTCAGAATTGCTCAAAAACTGGGTCAAACTTAGATTTCCTGAAAGTTTCGTAAACATTTCATTGAATATAGAGGGTGCTGGGATCATGTATCTGTCAGATCTTAAAATGGTCTAACTCAGCTTAGTTTTTAACAATCAATTTAAAATTTTAGGAAAGCACTTTCATTATTAAACCAAATGTGTCTCAAAACTTTGGAGTGAAAAAAAGGTGATTGAAGGAATGAAATTTTACAAAACTTTCAGTTCCACACGCTGCATGCAGCTTGTCATTCCGCCGCAGCTTCAATCAATGTTTATAAACACTATCAGCCTGGGTAAGACAAACCTCGCAATTTTTGTACCACTGTTTTCTTGAGAATGTGAGCTTTTCACATTACCAAATTTGTCATACCTTTTTGGAATGATTGGTGAGTTTCACCTTGGTGCCATAATTAATAACGCGTGGCTTTTGGAGCTTTAAATTCGCGTAATTTGACGAAATTCACTTATTTTCGTTGTATTATTTCGTTATATCTTTGGTTCCTGGAATGGGATCATTTTGAAAATTTGTAAGCAGCTTCTAATAAGACTTTATGTTAAGAAACTTGGTGGATATCGGAGTTGATATAGCTGAAATGAAAATTAGGCAAAAGGTGTTGCTTTGAGTTTAGTTTGACATGAAGCCAGGTGTAACATAATGTTTAATATTTTAACTGGGTTGGGTCAGAAGTCTAATCATGCAGCTCACTGGAATAAGGCAGTAAGGTAGTACGTTTTCGTGAAAAGTAAGGGTGAGATGTGCCGAGAGCGGGAATTGAACCCACGACCTCCCGATGAACGCTCGGATGCTATAACCACTAAGCTATCTCGCCATAATGTTTAATAACTGTATATGCTCCAACTTTTTCCAAAAGTTTCTTTAGCTTTGTAAGTCTATAAGTTAGCTTAACAATTTTTGTTAAGATTGGATCGAGGGAAATATTCAATGT